TTTGGTCCTATCCCATCACCTTCCCCCCCGGCACAACCAGACTAGTGCGGCAACATCAACCACATACCATCAAGTAGCAAGCATCGGCCTGACGGGCCATTCTGCCCTTCTTGTCTGACTGGACCATTGCCGAGGATCAGAGGCCCAAGTACCTCCTCCACCTCGGCCAACGGGGGCAGTCGACTTGCCCACAGTAGGAAGTCATGTGTATGTACACGCACCGAGCAACGCATATAATTGGCTCATACAACGACATTTGGCTGCGGCTCCAAAGGCTGTGGGGAAACACACCACCGCCAGTCCGTCAATCACCCCTTCCCACCCCTCCTTCCTCCCGGGCCGCCTTCCTTGTCCTGCAGAAACGCCAATAGGTCGCGCTTGCCGTCTAGAAACAACCAATACCACCATTGTGATTGCGGGCCATACTCAAAAGGGCCGCAGGCCAGCCGGCCAGCATGCCAGCGTCGAGAGAGCAGGAGGGGGCTCTGCGTCGCTTGATAGTGAAATTTGTCTCGCCTCGAGCATTGCACCACACGAATGGGAGCTCGTGCGACTGAAACAAACAAGGGCGCGCTGCATGGAAAAGTTCAACGGCAAGACAAACGCGAGGCTCTTTTTGTGGAGGCATATACACACATACATACGTGTGTAAGTACTGTACATACAAAGTAGCTACTTAAAGTATGTAAGTAAGTAGGTAGGTAGGTAGGTAGGTAGGTAGGTAGTTGGATGGACGGCTTCACTCCCACGTCCCACACACAACCCCCTACTCCCCGCCACCTGCAGAAGCGCCAGCGGCAGATTGAGGAAGACAACCTACGCTTGAGAAGCAACAAGGTGCTGAGACTGCAAGTCGTTTTTTGGACCTTTGGGTTAGAGTCCATCCTTGGAGCGCTCGACCTGAGAGCGGCGCTCAGAACCATAGAACCATGGCTGGGCGCGCCAAAGCATGTGTGGTTTTATACTTGCTAGGTACTTGGATAATGGATAAGAGTGTTACGCGGCGTCTATGCAAGGAAATGCTCCTTTCTATTTCTCTCCTTGCAACCTAAAGAGTTTATCTCCTCCCCCCTTTTGTTTTCTAGAAAAAGTAAAAGTACAAAAAAAACAACAAAAACAGTGAGCGACCTAAGTAGGTACTTGACTGAAGTTAGCCGCCTCCAAAATATACGCCCGTAAAGCCGTATCCGCCACGGCGCAAAAAGAGTGAGCTCGAACTCGGATTCGAACCAAGGACTTCGAGATTTGCAATCTCACACTCTACCACTGAGTTATCCGAGCGAACACCTAGACTGTTTCTACAGGTTACAGGTGGCGCTCTTAATGTCAAATATATAATCATCAGTGCTATATCCAGCAAAGACACAAAAAAGTGAATCACCTGAGCCCACCGCATGTACGCGTGCGCAATGGCAGGCTCTCCCACCGCCTCGATTAGCCGAAAAGCAAAGTATACATACTTGTACAATGCACATCACACCTTGTTGACATCACAGATTGCAACGCCATGCAATAGACGTCCAGCGTCCGCCCAGCCCACGGCAAGTCGTCGACGCGTGAGAATATCCGTGCCACCTTCTGTGACCAAGGACCCCAGGACATCCCGACTCCCCGACTCCCGAGACAGTGGCAATTGGAAATGCAATTGGCACCAGCCGTGACTTCGACGCAGGCCACGGACATCCAAGTCATGCGCCCTCGGAGGCGTTCATCGAATTTGCACAGACGCGCAGGCCGACGGAATCTCGACATGAAGCGTGAGGTGCATTGCACATGGCCCTCCCAATTGACGGCAGCAGCCGTGTTCCGGGGGAATTGTCGAACAGGTTGCCACGATTCCCAATGTCATGCGATGACAATGGTAGCTTGGTCATGATCCCAGCCCGTGCGAGGCTTCTCCATCTTCATTGGCACCCGAGTTCCTGGAGAACGTCGGGGTGCTGCTTCCACTGTTTCCTCTAGGGTAAAAAAGGAAAAAAAAAAGAAAAAAGAAAAAAAAAAACGCGTATGAACCACGCACGGCAAAGTGCTCATGTGCATCATATGTGTTGTACGTACGCGCGACTCTGGGCAGTCTGGACTCGTAGACTACCTGAGGCACGATACCGACCGAGACATGATGCCAAAGCGACGAAGCCACCAGCTTCGAACGTCGCGCCCGCAGATGAGACTCTTTCCCTCCTGGTCATCTGGTCAGCCCAGGCCCAATGCTGAACCCGAACCCAGGTCCGCCGGCCCGAATCCTGATCTCTCCAAACAGCCCAGACCCACGGGGGGGAAAAAAACGTGAAGCCGCAACACCCTTGTTTACTCTTAGGTTTCATCGTCAGCCGCAACCCTCGGGGCTCGCGCGCTAGCCAAAAGGAAAAGCGGCAAATATATTAGACGTGCCATGGCCGAGCTTTGAGACCAGAGCGCCACCTACCGCTACCCAAGGTCGGGCATGAAGATGATCGACAGGTCGACCTGAGCGGTCAGGACTCGGGAACCTGCGTCACTCGCCAGAACTCAATCCGCTTGATAACAAAAGACACAACGACGTCTTTTTTTTTTCTTTTTCTTTTTCTTTTTTTTTTTTGCTCATTTCCAGCGCCACTTGTTTGGCGGAGGCAGAGTTGGCAAGAACCCGGGATCCCGACGCCTGCCATGCCAGGATTACTTTTATCATTTTTTTTTCCCCCTCCCGTGTCGTGGTGTCTATTTTGTTCATTCAGTCTCGCTCTTCTCGCTTTCGGGACGTAGCTGCGGCGCGGGAAAACGATGCAAGGGTTTCCAAGAGGAGATGGAAATCCTCGACAAAACATGCGATTGGACTCGTCTTCTCACCGCTGGCGATGCCTTTCGACGTGTTTGGACACGGATGAGGCAACTTGACGACAGACCGACCATGCTTCCCACGCCGCTCTGTTGACACCTCGGGGAGCCATCACACTTCCAGGCGGCATCAAGGCGGCATCAAGGGAATCGACAAAGTACAAACATGTATCTGTGCCGTCATTATTCTGCTCAGAATACACTTGTTACGTGATACATCAACACATGCAGCACGTATCATCTCCAGGGCACTGGCCTTGACCGATGCAAACCCCCGCCCCACGAACCACGGTCTGCCCCGTGATCGTCGCCCCCTCCCCCCAATTGCACAAATAATCAGGACGTATAAACTCGTTGGATGGCCCCGCACAAACGACAAGCTGTCTCCTCGACTTCCATCCTCAAGCGACACAGACACGAAATAGCCCAGGAGCCAGGAGCCCGAAGCCCGAAGCCCGAACAGACAAGATAGCATCAAATATGAGCAGCCCAAGGATGATGAAAGCAGTCGTCTTCGAAGGACCCTATAGGGTCTCTGTGCAGGAGCGTCCCGTGCCAGAAAGTGAGCTGCGATCCCCTTTTGCTGTGCAGGTCTGATCGCGTCGAGTCACGAAAAAAATCCCGACTGACGTTGCGAGCGCAGTACTGGACAGCGGGGATGCCATCGTCAAGGTCGAGGCCACAGCCCTCTGTGGCTCGTAAGTTGTCGGACCAGACACTCTTGCCCCTCCTCCTCCGCATCCGCCTCCGCCTCCGCCTTTCGCATCGGCCGTTTTGCCGTGTCGAGGACTCGAGACTGACATGGCCGACTGCCAGAGAATTGCATGTTTTCCGAGGACACCAGAAATCGGCCCCGGGGTTCATCATGGGTCACGAATTCACTGGCACCGTGTGCCAAGTCGGGTCCGGCGTGCGCACTCTTCAAATCGGCGACAGAATTGTTTCGCCATTTACTGTGTCATGGTGAGTCTTTGGGGATAACCAGAACGGCCAGGCTGGCATCTGGCATGAGTACAGATCCATCCACTGCATGGCACGTTTAGACCAAAAAATAAAATAAAAAATAAATTTATTGTTAATCATCGTTCTCCCCCTCCCCCCAAAACAGTGGCGAATGTTTTTATTGCCAAAAAGGCTTTACGGCTCGATGCGAGAAAAGCTTGCTATTCGGTTCTCCCGGCCTCGACGGAGCTCAAGCTGAGTATGTGCGTGTCCCATACGCTGACAGCACGAGCGTCAAGGCGCCGAAAACCATATCTGATCAGGCCCTGCTGTTGATGGCCGACATCTTTCCTACCGGCTACTTCGGGGTCAAGAGTGCGCTCCAGCTGTCCACAGCGGTCGACGTCGCACAGTCTACCATCGTCGTCATCGGATGCGGGCCTGTTGGACTCTGCGCGATTGCTGCCGCGTCTAGCTTGAATCCTCAGCATCTTTTCGCCGTAGATGCCGTTGACAGTCGCCTTGACGTGGCCCGAAGGTTGGGGGCGGAGCCATTGAATTTCAAGCAAGACGCAGACGAGATGAGGAAACGAGTCATGGAGGCGACACATGGTCGCGGCGCCGACATAGTGGTCGAAGTAGTCGGCCTGTCCCCGGCGCTCAGAACCGCCTTTGAGCTTGTGCGGCCGTTTGGCGTCATCAGCAGTATTGGAGTTCACAACGCCGAGGTATGATTGCATAAGCTCTTCGCGCGCATACCGGTATCCGATCTTTGACTGACATGAACAAGATTCCTTGGACTGGAAGCGAGGCATATGGGTAAGCCGCCTGTCTGTCCGGTTTGTTGCTATAAGGAGGAGGAGGAAGGGGAGGGGGAGGAGAGGGAGGAA